GTAGAACCCAGGGAATGCTAAATTCTCCTAATATTGCTTACCCTCTGCAACAATCCTCTAATATAGGAATTAGTTCCATATTATGGATGAGAAAACCAAGGTTCAAAGAAGTTAAGTGAACTTTCCAAGACTTCACTGACAATTAATATTAAATCTAAGATGAAAATCCAAAGCTAACTACAAAGCACACAGAAGTTCTGTTGGTTCATCTTGCTTTATCCAAGTGGTTCCCAAACTTTGCAATGCACTGGAATGAACCAGTTAGGACCTTTGAAGCAAGTGTCTGGTTCCCATTCCCAAGTGTTCTAATTTAACTGGGCTGGGTGCAGCATGGGTATGGGAATTCCTTGAACCGTCTTGGGATGGGTCTAACGTGCTGCAAAGTTTGGGAACCACTGGCTCACTACTCGGGCAGGTGCCAAGCTCTTGTTCACCTGCATGATACCCACGGTCTATGCCAAAGCCCATTGCATGCCTGAGGCTAGGGCTGGCTGTTGTCTGGCTGGTCTAAACAGGTATGGTCCAAAACTGAGCTGTCTACTTATCACAGGTCAGTTGTGCTTTCTCCTAGACCTGTTCATGCTGTGTGTTCTTAATGGAAGACAAATATAATAAAATACCATGTAAACTGGTAACATGATTTTGCAAATAGAGTTAATGCTTCCAGTAAAGCTAAACTCAATGCCTTTGAAAGTTGTAATAAAAAATGAGTTTAAAAATGACACTGAAATAGATGTGCATGAGAAATTAAAGTGGAAAAATTGTAAGAAATTAGAGTCTATAACCATCAGCTGTACAAATGCCTCTAGTTCTTAAACTTCCTTAAAAAAATTTAAAACCAAACCTAGACGAGTACCATGAGCATATTCATAAAAGCCAGAGCTCTAGGTTGAAAGCATATCTCCAAGAGAAAGCCGTAGACCTCTGCCGCAAGACTGATGAATACCCTCGCGTTTGTTTAAGTTACTGTCTTTCTGACATGAATGTATCATTTTTAAGATTTCCATCTTTAACAACTTTTTCAGTGATCCTGGTGTAAGAGGCTTATTAAACCATCTGCTCACATGAAAGGAAACTGGCTGGCCTTTCTCTTCCTGAAACAAGCGATACTAGATAGCAGAGCAGCGCGGGTTTTAAAACACAGCACATATTTCACTATATTTAATATGGAGGCTCGGAGTCCTGCTGTGCCGGCACTAAGGAGACCAAAGATGAATACTAAGGATATCTGTTCTCCAGGACTGTGTAGTCTAGTGGGGCTCACACAGCACACAAATGATGAACAAATAAAGCATAATATCTCTCATGCAGCCATAGGACTCAAAGGAGAAAGATCAAAACAGAGGGGTTAATCTGGAAGGCTGCCTGGAGAGGGCAGCTCAAGGAGGAAGTGGAGTGGGGACCATCTCACTTGTTTTTTTCCTCTTCTTTCCCTGTGTCCCTCTCTTCCTCCCAGCTTGAGGAAGAAGCCCTGACTTTGGTGGTAGGGAGAGATTAAAAATACACAAGCTTGAGAGACAACTGCGGGGGTACCAACTGGTGAGGTCCCAGAGGAGGCAAATGAGAGCAGGAGAAGGAAAGAAAAGCAGATGGATGGGAAGGGAGAAAGGGGAAATCAAGGCACAGGGATGAGGATATCGGGAGCTAAAAGATGAGCCGCTGAGGAAAGACACCAAGTTCCCCTCTCTCTTTTCTGGAACCAGGAAGTTGCTGTCTGCAGGGGGTGGTCAGCCAGGGCAGGGGCTTCAGATACAGATTGGGAACTGGCAGGCCAAGGCCATGCTGTTTTGTCTCCTAGCCAATTGCACTATAAAAATCTCAAAGTACCAATCGGTCACTCATTATTGACCAGGAGGGGAATGAGAGCCCTGAAGCAGTTGGATATACTCCCTGCCTGGGGTCAGGAAGGCAGGCACCCAACTCTGACAACCAAAGCTCAGAACCAAGTTCTTTCCCAGATCCCTTTCCCCACCCCTGCCCTGCCCACTTAATGCATCTTTAGAATCATCGTACCATACCCGCAGCCCTCAGTTAGCCCTCAGTGGTTCATGGCTGATTTGATTCTTTCTATGATATGTAAACAACACTGGTTCATTGTCAAAAGAAAACAGAGATGAAGGAAACGGTCTGATTACACTTGTAAGCAGATGAGTGCAGACACGAGTGCACACTAGGAGCTGTGTACTCATTCGTGTGTACACACACACACACCGCCCAGCCCATGCTGCCACCCTGGTGTCAATAAGGTGAAAGAAGAAATCAGAGACCTGGTCATTCTGGACTCTGCGCAATAGCTGCTTGCAAATTTAGGTGACTCAGTGTGATGCTTTTAAAGACCATCGTTATCAACAGTTCTGTTGACATTACTGCTCTGGAATATCCCAGTACTGCAGTGTTTTAAATGCCTGACATCCACAGCATTATGAAGAGCAGCTCTCTCATTATTAGGAGTCTCTTCCTCAATGCTGCAATTCCCAAAGAGGCTTTCAATTCATTACAGACTTAGCAGGGAAAGGCGCCTATGATGGGTAAAGAATCAGCCCTACTAATGTTCCCAAAACATTGGAAACTATTTTAAGCTTAACCTAGTGCTATCTGCAAAAGGAGTGATAACATAAACAGACTGTTCTTTTCTATCTTGACCACAAATGTTTCACACATTTGTCTGTTTAGTTATATGCATATATGTGTGCATAAAGTATGCATATGGGTGTGCAACGTGGGTGCACATACACACGGTATATTTAGTTTTCATAGCAGAGACCTTTGCCTCCATCATCTACGCTCCCAACAGTTGGGCAACAGCAGTGAGTTCTGTTTCCTGCCTCCCTGATGAGTGACTAATTAATAAACTTTCCCTTAATTGAGTTCTGGCTGCCAAATGCACAGGATTACTTATATGTAAGTAAGCAAAAGTTCCATTTTAAACAATACCCTACATCTTCTCATTATACTTTAAACATATAAATTCCCTGAAGTCAAACAACCCATGGGCTGTGAGCTGTGCCTTTTCTGGCTTGGATTCTTCCCCTGGGGAAGCCAGATGCCCCAGCAGGTAGGAAGTACACCCCAGATCCAGGATTCAGATGGTATTCTCAGTACCCAGGCCCCTGGCCTTTCTCTATTCTCATATACTGTAACATTCGGAAGCACCTAAAATAGGTTGCAGGAGCCGTTAGTGGTGTTTATCTTTTCCTTTAACCTGGATTTATTATTTAAAAGCATTTTTTCATGACTTAAAAGTAGCAAGACGAGCTTAATGTTAAGTATTTAATAAGTGCTCATGCTTCATTGATGAGAGAGAACATTGTTGGGTTTAGGGAACATCCCCACTTCAGCTTTCACGGAAGCTGAATTTCAAGTTCTTGTGTTTGAGGTACTTTAATTGTTTCCATCTTTTCATGATTTCTCTGCTTTGAGATTCTAAACTGAAAGCAGAACCAAAAATAGAAGCAAAAACCTGAAAACAAGAGTTGTTCTCACTTTGGTTTGCAACCTGCGAGGAGGAAGAGATTGTTCCACCCCGTGAGGTTTTCTGCTCAGTGCCATTTGGGAACCATTTGGCTCAAGATTGAGGCCTTTTATGAGTTACCCTTTGCTGGAAGTACAAGAATCCACTGCAGGTTACGATGATTATTATTATTGACAACTGCTTAAAAGAATCAAGTAAACATTTTTCAGACCTTACACTCATTCTGCTAAGACATTAACCAGAACTAAACAATGGGGTCAGGATTTAGAAGCAGCTCCCAGATCCTCAGGAAAAAAGTACGAACAAATGTGTCACAGACTTTCAAGGTCTGGATCTTCCTCTCCTTCTCCTAATCCCTTGTTTGCTTCAATAAAATGTTGTAAATGGAAGTGCTCTATATGGTGTGAACTCTTTTTTTGAGAATTAATCTTCCTGGAAAGAACCCCATTTAACATACTCTGCTTGTCCCCAGTCAAACCATCTCACCAACGCATGTTGTCAAGAGACATCCAGTCTTCTGTTAAAGGGGTGCATCTCCCCAGGATGCCCATCAGATCACAAATAGAGAGTAATAGCTCAAGATTGATTTTTAGCATTATAAAGGGAGGTCTTTTCATTTCCTCCTGGGGATGGGAGAAGGGGCAGTGTCTAAGGCCTGGCAAAAATAAGGAGCAGGCACCACGGGAGAGGAGCAAACAACAGACAGACACAGCTATGTGGATGATTCTCATATTCACTGTGCTGAATAAACAAAGCCAGGCACGAAAGGCCACGTATGGATCCCAGGATTCCATCAATTCTGGATAAATGCAAAAGGACAGAAAAGAAGTCAGTGGTTCCCAGGATTAGAGGAGAGAGAAGTGACTGATCATAGAGGGTGAAAGGGGACTTTGCCTTCTGCGTTCTGACGCATAATGGAGGGTATATGACTGTGCAGTTCTGCCAAAACTCATCTGAAAATGTGTTTCACTAACTGTAAGTCATGCCTCCATAACCCAGATTTTAAAATTCAACTGAGGCATAGAAACTATGACAGAACATTGGTCAACAGAGGTAATGAGATCGTGGGCTTCTATCTGGGGGCATCAGAAGCCCCGAAGACCTAGCTCTAAGAGTCCTGGCTTTCAAGTTTTCTGGACAACCAGTAGACTGAAGGAGAAACTGGAAGCCCTGGGCATGGGTCAAAGGAGGATGTCTTATTTCCAGGATGCATCTGCAACAGACTAGTTGATTGCACTTACTTTCATTAATTGAACTTGTAATTTCTAGGCCAAGGCTACTCTCCTGACTTACTTTTCTGGCACCCACTGTCCAGAAGATCATTCAGGGCAATTGTGTTTATAAGTTATCCTTAGCAAAGCAAACTTTTTGCCCTGGGACAATGCGAAAGTGAACTCAGCTCAGACTCTACAATTATCTAAAATTACAAAGCACTGAACTCCATGTTGATGCAATTGTATCCTATTAAGAAAAGGTCATGGCTGCCCTAGATGGAGGGTGCGGGCCGCTGTGGGATGGGCTGACTTACTTCCGCCTTTGCCACTTTTCTCCATCCGGTACTGGTAGATGTGCAGTGTGAAAAGCATGTGGGAGTTGCGGTGGTCCTCTTCATCGCAGTCATGCTGGTTGCTCCTGCGGGAGGCAATGGCGGCATCCAGGAAAAAGGCTGCCTTCTCTGCAGTGGGGGCCCGCAGCTCACTCTGGTTCTGTAGCTGAAAGACAGGAAGCCGGAGCTGAGGCTGCAGGATGAGGGGGCTTGTTTGTCACTTGCGCCTGAGTGTTAATAGCTCGATTCAGCTGGCTGTTCATGCTGCATGATAAAGCCATGTGCCTCACTGAGGCCAGGTCATATGCACTTCTCAACTTAACTAATAATTCATTTCTGAAAATGAAGATTGAGCTCACTGACTGGCTCCAACCTGTTTTTATCTGTTTTACAGTAAAATCTGTAAATAGTAGGTGTGAAAAACAAATTAGTGTCTTGAGTGGTCGATGGGAGCAGGTGGCCCACCCTTATCTCTGCAGAGCATGGAAAGCGGGTGTCCTGAATGATAATTTACCCCAGAAAACATGAGGGGTGGAACTGCATCTTGACCTAAGAGATTAGGTTGTTTGAAGAGAGAGAGTTTGCAAAATGTGATTTTAGACCTAACAGCACTGGTTTTCCCCCCAAAAAACAAAATGAAACTTGGTTAGCGCCCACTTAACTCCTAATTCTTCAGTTATTTAATTTAAAGCTAATCTGAGACTACATTTACTAGCATAATTATGAACAAAAACATCTTTTCTATGTAAAAGATACACTGCAACGCGCAAGGTACTTGAAAATCTCATCTGTGTTCAAGAGATATCTATTTTTACCTTCAGTTCCTGGATTCCTATTCACGGTTTACTAAGTAATTGATTAGAGAAGCCGTAGTGTGCACCATGTCTAAGTCTTATAAGAACCCTTAGCAATTACAGTAAGCCTGAATCGAAGCAATTGTATTATCAGAACTTGGCCAGCACTCTGGCTTGTGGAGAAAAGAATCATGATTTGTTCAAAGAACTGATTTGCAAGATGCCTTAGGGTTGGTGCAAATGCTGACAAATTTCTAGTCTGACTCTATACCTATAGTTTTGAACTATGAAAGCCAGTATTTGGAGCCTAAAATGATCAAAATCCTTCAATGTCAAAGCAGGTTGTATTGTGTGTATGGTGTTGTATTTATAAAGTACACTAAATAATTTAAAAATGTTTTCAACAAAAAGAATTAAAGTAATGATGATGCTGAGCTTTTCACCTTTTTCTTCGTCTTCCACTAACCAGGTCTTTCATGGAGGTGACAAGTGGAACTTAATGATTTGTAAGAGTTAACTCACCTGTGAGTAGCAGTGGGGCAGAGTACTACCGACTCATCACTGGGGCTCTGTAGATACCATCTGAGTTCATTTTATGCTTTGGGACAGGGGTCCTCAAAGAGCGATCCCTGGACTAGTGGGTATCACTGGAGCTTGTTAGAAATACAGGTTTGGGGGCTGTAACCCAGCCCTACTGCTGAACCAGAAACTCCCGGGGAGGCGGGGGGCAGCCATCAGTGACTGATGTTTTAACCTCCTCCAGGTAAGTCTGAAGCAAACTAAAGAGGATTTGAAAGGAAAATGGGAGCATAAAAGTGTTTTAAGCAGAAACAAGCACTGTGGATATGATAGTGGCATCTTCACCTTAGCAAATGGTCCCAGTGGGGATGTGGCAGGTACTTATCAATCTGCACACCTATCTCCAAAAAAAAAGGATGCCTCTAAAACAAATAAGGCCCACTGCAGGATACTGGACAGATTGCTTGTTCTGGGTCTAAACTACGGGGCTGCCAAGTCAATACTGCATCTACTGTTAAAGAACATGGGAAGGACCCTCGCAACAGGCACAACGACCTGAAAAAGCAAACTGGAGCTTCTTTTGGCTTCCACAGCTCCAGCAATTATATCATGGTTCTAATTAGAAAGTGGTTATTAGTTTTTCCTACAGCACTGTTAATCCAGCTGTAAACCAGTGCCAGAAACACAGTTTATAGAGTCATAAACAGCCCAAGTAATGGCTGAAGCTATTTGTGCAGAGCGGTAAATATTGCAGTTTGTTGTTAAACAAAGAAAGATTGTACCTTTTTGGAGGGTGGTGCATAAAGAACGTAAATTCAACTTTTCCCCAAATACTATGACAATTGTGGTTCCTGCTTATTGTCAATTAGATTCCAGGTACAAATATTTAGGCTGGGTGAGCAGATGGCCCCACAGCTGCAGGCCATGAAGTTCCAGTCCGCTTTAAAGTAAACACTCGTAAGCCTCCCAGTTTGCAGGGTGAGTGACTCATGGGCTCCACTGCTCCAGCCTCTGAGGTAAGGGATGAGCCACCCGGGCAAGCTGAGCTTGCAGGATCAATCACCTGTGTGCCACAGATAGGGTCTTCACAGAGGTACACGCCTGGGGACTGGCCGTCCTGCAAGCTGCCCGTGGCCACCTCTGATAGCAGGTCCCGTAGGTTCTCTTCTTTCCCCCACACCTCTACAGCTGAGATCCGTACTGAGAAACGGGCTCCAGTCTTTTCTTTCCGTTCATTGATCAGTTTGAAGAGCCACGAGATGGCACAGGGAATGATACCCAGGTTCTGCATGGAATCGTCCTTCCCGATCATTGTATAGGATTTTCCTGTGAGAGCCAGGGAAGCACACAAAGAGGTTGGAGAGTCCAAATATCAGAACACAGTCAGAAAAACAGACATCAAAGACACAGAAGAAAGGCATGGGGGTGTGGGCAAAAGGGAAGAAAAGGAGTGAAGAAAAGGAGCAAAAAACCAAATCCAAACAAACCAAAAAACCAATCCAAACCAAACCAGGAAGCCTTTGACAATGATAAAAAAATAAATAAAGCCTTTCCTAGTCTTAGCGATGAAATGGCTAACAGAATATGAGAGCCCAAACAAATGACAAGACAAGATCCAGGCTACCCAGTGTCTGCAACTGTTTTGCTCAGAGTGGGGAGGCAGGGACTTTTCATCACAATTACTGTGCTTTTTATAGCTGCCCCCACAGATTAAATCCACATCCTCACACTTTATATCCTTTTTCAAGTTAAATGCTGTGTATATTTTTATAGCATGAGCAAATTCCATTAAAATTTGGATCCCTGCTTCTCAAGATCTCTTCTCAAGAAGAGAAGGAAGGGTGGGGGAAGGGGGAAGAGACGGGGATGTGGTGGACTTGCTGTCCTGGCTGAGAACTGGCCTTGGTGTCCCCTGTAAGACCTCTGGTGCAGTCTCTGCCAGGGTACACTTTTCTAAGTTACAGTACTAGCTTTTTGGGCCGATAAAGCAAGGCCGGAGAGCAGACAGCCAGCCCCAGGCTGGGATGAAGGCTGGTGAGAGGGTTTCATCAAGACCCTTGCATGAGTGTCTTGTGGCCTCCTTTCCCAGCTGCTTCAGCACAGGAGGATTCATGACGGCAGTTGGGCATCCCTGGGAAGTAAAGATAGCTTCATCAGCTTTCCCTGGGCAGCTCCTTGCAGGGTGCCCGGGGTTTGGAGGCTGCTCCTCTTGCTTTTCCACTGACTCCATCACTAACCCAAATCCTCTTGGGACAGGAACAGGCAGCCCCCACCTGCTTCCCAAAGAGCCCCTGCTCAGCAAATGTACATTTTCCTGCTTGCTTTCTGAGCTTGACCCTGACCTGGATCAAGTGACATTTCCCAGATCCAGATCTGGTTGTTCCTGATCTGGAACAACCTTGCTACTCTCTTGTTCATCTCTTGTAGTTGAAGTCTGTCCTGCATGCATGGGCGCCCACTCATGACAAGCAGCCTGGGCTGTACAGGATCATGCAGTTCAGCTCCAGAGAGAAACAGCCCTTCTGCTCACTGGGGCTGGTACTGAAGCATGATGGGGAGATGGAAGAGCCCACAAGCAGTAGGAAGAAACACAGAGCTCACTAACCCAGCTTGGCGTGGCCAAAACAGAACACGCAGCCATCTGCCCCATTGACCACAGACTGGATCACCTCTGCCACAGTCCCAGCACACACTTCAGCCTGCCAAATATAAGAGGAGACATGAGCAGTGGATGGATCATACAGTTAAGGCATTATTAACGATGCACAACTGAACCTGCTTTGTAGTGGCTTAGGGTCCCGGTGTCATCACTTTCTCAGATGGGAGTTCTGAAGCCTCAGGGCCCTTCTGCCCCTTGTGAGCCTGAGTATTGTACATGTTAACTGAGAGTGTCCCATAAACCAATCTGTGGTGCCCTTAACGGTGCATCCATAGATCAGACCGGCACAGGCTGCAGTGGGAGCATAGGCTGCTTTCATGGACTGAGCTCCCTACGCTCATCTGCAGTACTGAGCTCTTTCTTAGACAAGGCATTGCAACTGTCTACTTGTGCTCTGCTAATCAGGGCCTCCCTTTACACACACACACACACACACACACACACACACGCACGCACGCACAGGCACACGCACACGCACACACACACACACACACACACACACACACACACACAGTCTATGAACCAGTGAGGCTTAGGTGACATGCCGTAGCAGGGCAGGGGCCTTGAGAAACGCCTTAGTTCAAATATAAGCAGGAGGCTGTGAGTGTGTCTGCTTTTTCTCCTGGTCTCTTGTTTTTTTCCATTCATGTCCTCTTCTTTTCCAAACCAGCCTTTTCTTTTTTCTCTACACATTTACTCAGCACATATAACCTCAACCACCATTTGTCAGCATGTGTTCTTTAGCCTATGTGGGTCTCACCCCCAACCTGGTTATTAAACCCTTAGACAGGAAACACAGGTTGTGGGGGGCATCTTGTATCCCCTCCCCATCATCCAGTAATATGCAAACAATAGGGATTCAGTGAATTTTATGGGGCAGACTGGGAGATCTGGGAAATGTCTCCCTGGTTAGCATCTGAGACTTTCACAGCAGCAGGAGGATGAAATTATTTTGTCTCCTGTTGCCCTCATTTCTGTCTCAGGGCTGAGCCTCAGGAAGCATTGAGAGCCGTGCAGACACTGGGCCTCTGTGGCCCTTAGAGCAATGGGCCTCCCGGCGGGGATCTGGAACCAGCAGCCTCAGTGATGAATGTAGTTATTCAGCTGCAGGTTTCAGCAGCACAATAAGTATTTGGAAATCAATTTTCTCTCCCAAACTGAAATTGAAAAACCACACTCCCAACAATTGTCAATTGTTCCAGGGTGGTCGTCTCAGTGGCTTTGCTAGGGGCTCCTTCCAGACCAACAGGGTGGCAAAATAGAGCTGCTGTGGGGACCACAGGCTCTTGCACAGCCCCCGGGACCAAAGCAAGGATCACATTAAGGCCTGAGACAGCGGCTGGAGGATCTTGATGGAATTTTCCAAAGGCACCTCTGCAAAGCGGGGAGAAGGAATGGCCCAGTGAACTCATGTACTGGCCTCTTTGGACAGCAAATCCCCCTTGAGTCACACAGAGAAGAAAGTCTGATGTTACCAGGGAGAATGCTGATTGTGCATGGGCCACACTGCCATCACTGAGTCACCTGCATACAGATCAGGGGCGGGCACATGGGAGTGGACTCTTGCAGAGTCCCCGCCAGGCTACCTGTCAGGAAGAGTGGTCAGTGTTCTGTCCACTGGTGTTTTTCAAGGACTAACACGGCCCCTGGAAACTACTTTCGGCCTTTCCCTAGGGTCTTGGAGAAGTGAGCAGCCTTCCTGGCAGTGCCTGGATCCTCTGCACACTCACAGGCTGTAGTCGATCCTGCCTTAGAAGGACCTAGCAGGAGTTTGTCCCAAAAGTGGGCAACTAGTGCCTTCTGAGGCCAGTTAAGGGTCGTAAGGATGGCTCAGAAGGAGGAACAAAGCCTGTTCCCCTCATCGCTTAGCTGTGGGAAGCTGCCACACTTTCCATTGGGAGAAAAGCACAGTTCACACCTGCCTGGTGGTTGCTGCTCCACAGGCAAGGACCTGAGAGCAAGACCCACTCCGCTCAAAGCGTGGAGGCTCAAAGGGTGCTCACCCTGTGGGGCTGAGCCATGCCCCGGAGCATATTAACATATAATGCTGTAATATAACAATGAAATAGCTAACATTTATGGAGCACTTGCTATGTTCCTGGCTCTGTTCTAGGAACTTCATGCATGTTATCTGATGAATCACAACAACGCAGTGAGGAAAGTTTAGGCGTGTCTTCCATGGACAGATGAGGACACAGAGGGCCAAAGGGGTTGAGAGCCTTAACCAAGGAAATAGTGGATAAAAACAGAAGATATGTCACATTGAGGAGGATGCAGAAATGTGAATGGGAGAATCCAGGAATGCCTTCTGCTTAGGTGAGAGACCACAAGCAAGTGACTGAACCCTTTTTGAATCTCAGTTCCCTTCTCTGCCATATAAAAACAGTGAAGACTTCCTTTCCTATGGGCTTCTAGAAAGAGTCAACTGGGTGAATTTTATGAAACTTTTGAAAACTGCAAATTTATACAGAGGCATAAGTTAGAATATCAGACATTTGAACAAATTAAAATATTTTGAAATGAGGGACGCAGTAATGGTGGGCATAGTGAGCTCGGGAACCTGGTACAAACTGTAAACAAAGAAGCAGTCAGAATAGTTCCTTGTTCTAGAATAAATCTAAAACTCATTAATAGTCCATGCTTAATTAGAGTTTGCCTTAGAATTCTCACAACTTATCACTATTGGCTTCTAAAAAGTGTTAAGTGTGTTAATTAAATTACTTGTAGACCATTTATTAGACCCAATGTTGGGTTTAAATTACTAAGCCCTTTGGGTGGTACAACTCAAAAACTGAAATGAACAGAGAAACCATAGAACCTATTCATAACCTTCTTCTGGTTCAACTCTTCGGGGAGATCACATGCTCAGCTTCCTAATAAATAAAGCCTGTAATAGGCACTATATGTCTATTGTATAGTATGGGGACCCATGTGAACATTGTTATGCCCCATACTCAGATGCAATGTGGAAGAAATGAACAGGTTGCAAATGGTAACCATTGGCACTATGGCTCTCAGGTTCCACTATAGGCTGTTTATTACCATATGAAACAGTTTTGTATAAATTTTGGGAGCGCTAGAAATTTATCAGACAGGAACAGGGATCTGAAACCAGGCAAAGGCAGGCAAAGCAGACCACTGCATACTTAGGCCCTGGGTTATCTTTTTATATAAGTCTGTGTTTATTTTTGGAGCTAGGTATCGAACCCAGGGCCTTGGATATGATAAGCAGATGCCCTGCCATCGAGCTACCTTCTCAGCCTTGACTTGTTTAGTAATTTCTATAATCTATCAGCCCCGCACTTATGCCACTTCCCCAATCCTCAGTGTCCCCAAGGAGTGGGCCTTGTTTTGTGCCACTTTAGAGGATCACATTCATTCAAATGTGCAATTTCAGTCCGCAACTCTTTAGCTGCCTGTGGCCCAGAAATCTTGATATCACAGAGCCCAACTCATCCCAAAATTATATTCGTAGTCGATTAGCAAAAATATCTCCTGTTCTCCACCCTGTTTGGTGTACATGCTTCTTGCAATGTGACTTTGCCGCTTATCCAATCAAAAGGACTTTCTTCCCCACTCCTTGAGTCTGAGTCAACAGAATGCAGAAGTGATGCTGCATCAGTGCTGGAACTAGGCCTCAAGAACTTAAATCCTGGGCACTGCCATGTGAGCAAATCCAAGTGAGCCTGCAAGAGACCTAGCCAACATCACTGTAGCCCAGCTTAAGCCAGCCAATCTCCAACTATGTGATAGCATCCGGCCAAGAGCTTCAGAGATGCCTACACATCCCACAACGTATCACAGAGCCAAGACAGAATGGCTCAGCTGACACAAGAGCAATACCAATGCCTACTGTTTTAAGCACTGAATTGGAAGGTGGTTTGTAAAGCACCAACAGCTAACTGATGTATATTTATACAGCTAGTATGTAAGATACACACACACATACACACACATATTCAAGTCTCTTTTATTTCCTACTACTCCATAGACACAGGACTCAGGTTTCAATCTAGCCTCAGTTTCCTTCTCTAGCACTCCAGTTCCTTCAAAGGTTAACAGACCTGCCCTCTGCCCCAGTGGACTTACATATGGCCCCAGAACATATTTTAAATGGCTTAATTTTAGTCCAGCTTCCTGAAACCTTTTCCCTTCTTATACACCTACAGTCAGGAGTACAGCCAGGAGTAGAGTCCTAAGAGACCAGTTACTAGCACCTTGCTACAGCTTCCCCCATAACTTCTAAGTCTGCCTGTTGTCTTCCTGCTTCTGACTGGCCTGTTCTTCCTTCTCCCCAGGAGTGTATTTTATTGAAATCCCAGCACAATGGATCTGCCCAAAGTACCATACCAGGAACTTAGAAGGACCAGACTATTCCACAAAGCTCAAGATGGAGGTAGAGGGATGGATCCATCACAGAGCTCAGAGCACAACAGCTCAGAGGTCCTAGAGAATAAGCAGATTCTCTTTTGTCAACCTGCCTGAGCTGGAGAGAGGGATCATACCCACCTGAGATGCATCTTGTGGAAAAACTGCATCGAAGGCAAACATCTTAGGAGGAACCTGGTTACTTCGTTTCTGAAAGGCATTTTGCCCTCCACATGTCAAGGGATCATACAACGTGATCTGCTTCTTTCGTGGGTCCACCTTTAAGAAAGAGCTGGATTCTGAGGTGTCACGAGCCAAAGTGGAACAAATTCGAAGCATGACTTTGACCTGTTAAGCAAAGACAGGACCATTGTGGATTAGCACAGCACTCTCGAATACATGGTTGATATAAATATTCACACAGCACTGAACCTCCTCATGACACACTATGATGAAAATCACGAAGAATTAGCAGCCTACATCATTGCTGGGTCAGGAGAAAGATGATTTATTCACAATGACCAGGTAGAACATTTTGATATGTTCATTACCTTAATACAGAGATGGCACATCATGCTCTTTGTCTTTCTATTAATATAAATTAAAAATTAACTGTGCTCTGGTGGCCTAATTACATAGATGAAAAGCTAAGCTGGACTGTCAAGCCATAGGGACTGGTGTAGTCCCCTTGAAACTCAAAGATCAATAAAGCATGCACATAAAAGTTAGCTCCATAATTTACTCCCTTTCTCAGCTCATCAGGACTCTGGGTGACAAAAATCCACAGTTATTAGTGTCATCATTAAAGGCCTGGTTTTTAATGACCAGCATTTGAAAAGTGCTCTGAGGGGCAACAGTGAAAAAAGATTGGTTTGCAACATGTTATTTGGGATCCCATTAAGTGAGCCCAGAGAAGTCATTTCAGGAAATGAAAGCGCATCTCTAGAAAACAGAAGGCAAGCACCCTTTAACCCACCTTCAGAGTCACTGAACAACAGCGTCTCCAGTGCTTGTGAACAATTCAGCCTGGCCCCATGGCCAAGCATGGTGCTCACAGAAATACCCAGCCTGCCTCAGAGTCCTATACAGTAAGCAGAAATCAAGGTGAAGCCACACGTAGGTCTGGAGTCTGTGGTCCTAGGAAGAGGACAGCATTTGCTCTTTTACCAGCTCTTAGTTGCTAGGTCAGTCCAACACAGGATGGGGACTTCCTTGAGTACCTACTATGTGGCAGCTCTGTGCTACGCATGAGTGATGAAAAGATACACGAGACACAGGGTCTCGGGCATGCAGATGCAGAGACATAATTCAGGAATGTAATTAGACACACTGTGAAGGTATGCACAAGGGTTTTTTTTAAAACTCTTGACCTCTCTGCCTAATCAATTGTCAGGCTTCATGAAATCTCCATCATGAAAATTTTGGGTAAGGGGTTGATGTAAATTTTTAAATGAAATATCTCAAACACACAGCAATGTTCAGAGACTATGTATGATACGTGGTTCCTGACGTAGTGAGATTGTCCTCTTGCTGATCTCAGCTCTGTCTGCTGAGGCATAATAATCCATTTGCAGTGCACAAGGCTGAAATGTAAAGAATGCCAAGGCCACCAGGCTCACTGGATGTCCAGCACTGTACCCGGCTGTGCCTGTCCAGAGAGGGTAATTACTCCATGGTGAACCTGGAGGTCAGGTGTCACAGCAGAGGTTGTCCAAGTCAGGAGGAAGCTGGCTTCTCAGGGTGCAAATCTGAGCACTCCCACTGTGAGGTCACAGGACGATACCTACCATTTTTCTGAGAGTCCATTGTGGGCCAGGACTATGCTGTTAGCTATATTATCTCATTTTATCATCCCCTAATCCAGCGTGTAGGCACACTTGTCCAGATTTTACAGAGCAGGAAACAGATGTTGTTTAACTTGCCCTGGATCAATGGACCAGTGGGTGGTAAGGCTGGGCTCTAATCCACCTCCAAAACCCACACTTTTCCCATTATGCCAACTGCTGCCTCCCACAAGCAACTGAACTTCTCACAGCCTCAGTTTTCTCATCTGTATAACAGGAACAGTGATGACTGTCACAGGGAATTGTGGGGAGAACTCAGCAAGTTGACATGTGAGGTGCTGAACACAGTTCCTGGTACATGGTGGGTACTCAATTCCTGTTTTGCTTCCCTCCTCCTCCCTTACTTCTCTCCTTTGGACACTGATACCCTATTATTTTCCAACAATGGAGTTAATGATAAGGCTTTAGAATTTCCTTCCTCAAACTTTGGGTACAATGAATCATAAGCAAGCCACCAAGGACGGTCACTAGAGAGAGGGCTGGTTATTAACAACTGGGCTTGGCAAGGTTCTTCCTAGTAACACATGGAATCTCACAGCCGCTGCACGCTGCATAACACATCCATCTTCATTTCCTGTTCAGTGTGCCCCTCTGCCGTCTGTTTCCAGTTGCATTCTTTTCTATCCATTTGCCCCAGTTACACAGGCGGTGAGATTCGAGCAGGTATTCATGCTGCTACTTTGGTGAGGTGGCTGGGGCCTCTGGGCTCTGTCTCAGTGACTCTTCTTGCCCAAGCAGGGCACAGCACAGGTCGGAATGATGTGACGCCAGGCAGAACTGATGGAACCACATGGCCCGCTGCCTTTCTCCTTCACAATTTCCTATAACCACTCCTGGGTGACGCGAGGTGCTGCATGTAAAGTATGAGCTAAGCCACAAGGAGAAGCAGGGAGGAAGGGGTGGAATTTGTGAGCCATTATTGTGGCTGGACCACTCGTGCATCTTAATGAAGCGCCAGGCCCGAGGTAGGTTTTCTGTAGATTGGCTGAAGATCCCAGCCTCGCGTCTGGCCGAGGAGATACGTGGTCCTTTTAAAACCCCCTGAACTTGGAGCTGGGGGAAACACCACACTCCACTCTTTTCTTTGCCATTCATTTAAATAAATAGGGGAGGAAATTGGGTTTTTCTGCTTTAGCTCCTTTGTGCCATTATTCCTTTAGTCTGGCACCCCACTTCCCCTTAATCCTCTGTAATTAAAGAGCTTAGGAGATAGCACTTACGATCAAGAAAGTCCCTCAGACTCCTTGCCAGGAGTCCTTGCTTTTGTTACAAACACTGTTAGGTTCTTGGCACAGCGATGTCCATCTCAGCCCTCCCTGCTGCTCCACGTAGAGGCTCTGGGCTGTGCCTCACATGTGCAGAGTCTGCTTAGCTCTCAGCATCCTGGACACAGTCACTGTGTCAGAGCCAAGGGTAGACCAGGGGCATGGGAGCCAGGGGGCTAAAGGAACAACCCATATGGGGGCACCGGCTCCCCGATTCACACCAGCAGAGACTGGCACTTCTGCACCCAAGGCCCTGCCGGTTGGGACCCCACTTTTGCCTCATTTGTCTAATTATTCAGTGGCTGGTGCGAGACAGCTGTTGCTCTGGGCAGCAGTTGTCTTTATGTCCCGCTCATTAATCATTTCAGCACCTCCTTCTGGAAGGCACCGTGAGACGGAGGCAGAAAGGGGCTGTGAGACTCTCACTCAGCCAGCAAAGCCTCGCTCCTGAACAGCACAAACACCCCATTGCTGCGGAGATGGGTGCTGGCTGCCACCCGGCTTTACTGGAGGCTAACGAGAAGTGGGCTCGTGATCACCATTGCTACTGCTGCTCACGATGGTGGCAGGCAGACCTTGCCGTCTGTCCCCAGCAACATAGCATCACCATTTGGTGCAGACCTAGCGAGGCTCTTTGTTGCCTGTCTACCCTGGAGCTGCTGAGTCAAAGGTTTTCATTCAATTGTAAGATTGCAGGAGGGCTTTAGGCAGTTTGACTGAAGGATCCTCGACATCAGAAAAAAATACTATGCATGGTAACAAAGGCCTGGGAGGAAGGGAGGAACAGGTCAGTCCTCAGATGGAGCTCTGTGGAGACCTCTTGTGACCCCACAGTAAAGGTCCTTTGTGTCTTGGCCGCAATCAATGCACAATGCGATGATAGTTCATGTTTTCTTTTTCTTCTACAAGGTCAAGGCTACAGAGTTAAATTAACCTCTAGCACCTTTCAATCCCTTTACATTTTTAAAATTTAACTTCCTTTACACTTTTAAGAATCAGTTCAGTAGAAACTGGTCAGGATGCAGATGGATCAACCTAACCAGAAATACGACTCGGAACCATTTCTGTCTCATCCTCAGCAGGCTTGGAACTTTCTTGCCTTAAGCCTTCCACATCTATTCTTCAGTTCCTGAAACTCATCTGGAAACTCCAGCAAAAACTGGAGGAAACAAGATAGGTCTGTGAAAACTTTCCCACAGTAATGGTGGGAAAGGGGGCAAAAAATATAATATTGTCAGATGGGATTCTAAAAGCAAAGGGCTCTAGGGCAAGAGAGACAGCGCAGAGCCAACTAGTGGCTAACTGCAGCCCAGGGTCCTGGTCCCTCCCAGGGAGGCGAGCAGCCGTGGAGTGGATGCTGGAATTCTCATGGCGAGCACGAGCTGCAGGAACCCCAGTCATGCTGTGTCTCAGCCTCATACAGGAGCAAGCCAGTGTGGAAGAAGGCTGAGCTGGAGCTGCCTGACCCGACCCGGGGAGAGAAGCTGGAGGGTGAAAAGCAGGCCCACACTGTTCTTGGGACAACCAAGAGCTTTCCACGTGTTTTTGGAGGAGATGCAGCTGCAAGAGAAAATCTTTGAGGGGTTTCATTGTCTCTAACAGGTGCCTCTCGCTCCTTACAGCTATGGGCATGATGGGCACCACAGTGGACTAGCAGCCAGGACTGGGATCTAACCCAGACGTCACCACCAAATCACTGTGGGGGCCTCTGAGCATGGGCCTTGGCATCCAGAACCCTCAGACAGGCCTGCTGTGCAGGCTCCCTGGAGGGACAGATGTGTAAAGACAAAAGTAGACAGAGCTATGTACAGATGTAAAGCAGTACAGCTGGCCTCCAGACTCATGGGTTGAGCATCCACAAATCCTACCAACAGAGGACTGAACAGGTTTGGGAAAAAAACTGAGTCTATTAGATTTTTTTTTTAAATCAAGGATTAAACTCATGACCTTGCACTTGCCAGGCAGATGCTGTGCCACTAAGCTATGTCCCCAGCCCCTATACTGAAAATATGCTGATTTTTTATTGTCCATATCTCCTAACCAATACAGTATACCAATAATCTACATAGTATTTACTTTGTATTAGTATTATAACTCACAGGGAGATGATTTTAAGGTGCACACAAGGTTATGTGTTATAAGCAAGTACTGCATCATTTTATACAAGGGACTTAATGGACTGTAGATTTTTGTATTTGTGGGAGGTGCTGGAACTAATCAATAATTGATGACAGGGGAT